GCCCGGCGTGCGCTCACAGAATATCTACGTTAGAGTTACTGTATATGCTACTATAGTGTACTATTCTAGCACACTATGGCTGTGTTCGACGGAGGAACCGTGCTGTGTTCCAATACTCACAATAGACGGCTAAATAGACAGCTAAATGGACGGCGGTCGTCTTAAGTCCCATTCCCAATCTCACGTAGCCGGCAAAATAGACAGCTCCGAGAAGACCATATCGTAGACAAATACGATGCAGGCTACTTTGCCGTCTCAACAAGATGGCGGCTCAGCAAATTGCTCATACACAGAGGAAGGAAATGTAGGAGAGGCCCTGACGTCACTCGTTGTGAAGCAGCGATGAAGCCGGAAGTCAGCCATATTGACTGGGCAAATTCTCCTCTCTTGTTTATATATGAATGCGAAGCAGAAGGCCTGACTCCATGGAGGAAGGTAAAAATAGTTTTTCCTTCCTCCATGCGCGAGTCCCTCTCTGTCTCAAAAAGCACGTGGCCTGCGCGCCGCGTGCGCCGGCGCTATCCGAAATCAACGGAACGGATTTCAACACGCTGTCCTGCCGCGATACGGTTGACGAAATCTCTGCGTATGGGTGTTGTACTCTCGCTCTGCCGGCGTTTACGATAAACACGGCAAGTTGCACGTTAAGCTTTTTTTTTATTTGATGTGTTCTTTGTGAAAATAAAGACGATGTTTCGGACATTGCCGCGCGACGAACCAGGCACCGAAATTTGTACAGCTTCTTTCAAATCACTTTCCCCCCCTTTCGCGCTTCTTTTTAGGCTTTATAAAATTTTTGGTCAGGCTGTGGGCTAGACACAATGATAAAAAGCGAGCATCTTAAGCGAAGCAGAACAGGAACATTAATGCGCAGAAGCATTTGGTAACTGTACAGGAACATGAAAAGCAAGATTAGATTACATTCTTAATAAGGGTCTGTGGACCGCAAATGCATCGTCCGTTGTCATAAAAAGCAACAGCGCATAACTGTCATTAACCTGCAAGGCATTTATTGAACGAATTCTTGAGCATAGTCGTTATCTTCTATGATTACTTTTCAGCATAATTTTGACGGGCGCTGCAAATTCGGAGTACGTATACGCGCGCTCGTTCCGTGGTTTCTATTTCTAGTTCAGACATCTGGTTACAACCAACACCGGATGAAAATCGCGTAGCTAACGATGCGGCACAAAGAATGGATGCTGTCGAACACCTGCAGTACGCCACGGTTAGGTGCGAGGCCCATGAAAACGCGCACACCACCACTGGACCGCCTGAACGGGGCTGCACCGCACTACATCAATAATAACAAAGCGCCGCCATTGTGCGCAGTAAATATGGCCGCTGTGACGTCATTTCTGCCACATTTTTTACGCATTGCGTTGGCTGGGCATGCCCTCTCCTACCTTTCCTTCCTCTGTGCTCAGATAGATCAAATCTCGCCGGAATAGTTGTCTGCACACAAACAGACGCTTTCGCAGACGCTCAATGAGAGTAACATTTATTTGTTTTTGATTTCAACACCAAATAAGCCAGAAAATACAAGTTACGTTTGTTTATTTTAGCTTTTTCTTCTCGACGCGAGGTAGCGCATCGTCGCGTAAAAGCTGTCCAGAAGTGTTCCACTTCTCGGACAGGATGGACTTGGTGCTGTCTTCTAAGCAGTCTGCGTAGACTGTCTACGTGCTGTCTAAGAATCGGAACACAGCCTATAATGCTACCGAAGGCATATACAGTAACTGTAACCTACATGCACCGACGAAGCCGCCGCCACCGACTCGGAACCATGGAGGAAGAATTTTTCCTTCCTCCATGCTCGGAACGACCTCCACGCCGGAGCCGGTCGGAACCGCCTCGGCGCACACCTCTAAGAGCCTTTGACTTCTAATTCACTGTACTTTGACTACAAGTGGCGCTGGCTAACACTACCAAAACTACTACGTAACTAGTCAGTTAGACTAATCTGGTTATGTCTAACAAAGCAAAAAAATTCTGGAACAAAACGTTATTTTTATTTAGTTCGTTTTATTTTTCTAGTTTTATTAGCATAATTATAGCAAACTAGAAACAACAAGTTGGTTCCAGCATAAATTTTTAGACCATGAAGGGGAGGGTAATATCATCTATCCAGGCTAATTTATAAGTCATCCATGATTTGTTAGTAGAGAGTATTAGAAGTGTCTCACCTCACCGCCTGATCCCTTCCGCGATGCCCGTAGCGGTGGTGCTGCAGTCGAATAGTACTAAAAGAGCCGCGTGCCGCGTGCAGGAACTGCTAAGCGCTTTGGCTCCTCCAGCGCGCTTTTTTTGATGCAGATTTCTTCATACGGGCTCAACGTTCATGTCTAACGCATTATGTCATAACCATTAAAGGCTGAAATGCCAATCTACTGAATTTGATCTCCATAAAAGTCCTTTTGAGAGATCGAAAATTATTTAGAAAGGGCGTGCCTTAATCTGATCTCCTCTGTCTTGTCTCTTTCTTCGTTGGTTAGGCGTCTACAGTACTCAGCATAACTGAGCCGGTTTTTTGGAAGTTATCTGGGCTCAGAAAGCTGTGAAATAAAAAAAATACCTTGTCTAACGCAAGCAGGACCAGGAGGCCGTAAGTAGAAAGGGGAGAGGAAGGGAATATGAACCTACTACACCACGAAATTTTTTCGTAATTTAACCACTCAGGTTATACTAAAATATTCACACACATTTACAGCGACCACAAAGGGCCAAAGTTAGCCGTTCTGCTGCACACTCCACCCCCTCAAAAAAATATTCTGGGTATAGCGCTGCGCCAAGAGTTTACAGTTGGCGAAGCTGAATATAGCGTGTCGCTACAAATGCGCGCTGTAGATTTCACCTTTTCATCAGTATGAGCTAGGTCGCAAAGCTAGTTGAAGTCTAACGTAATAGGATGATAAATGTGCAGCGGAAAAATAGCGGTTGTTCTCAAGGGCATATATATATATATATATATATATATATATATATATATATATATATATATATATATATATATATATATATATATATATATATATATATATCTATATATATATATATATATATATATATATATATATATATATATATATATATATATATATATATATATATATATATATATATATATATATTTGTGTGTATGCGTGCGTGTGTGTATGTGTGTACATATTCAAGTGAAATTTCTCAAAACAATATGCACCACTGCCTGCCTACACTTTTGACACTTAATAAAAGAACTACACTTATAATACAAAACATCGTCATGAATTTGCTGGCTTGCAATGGCGTTACGTCAATAGAATATTTGGAAAGTAGCACAATTTAAGCAGTCGCTACAAAATGAGAACTGGTTACAGTGAATTTTCGCAGATTAACAGACGGGCTATATATGCAACCGGCATTTTATAATATGTTTAAGATAACCACTTTCGCGTAGAGTTTATGACTTGGAGGTACACGCTTTCCTTAAGCTCGGCTCCCAGGCTCGGACTCCTGGTATAATAACCACTTGGAGCTTGCATAAATGAAACAAAGTAAGCGCAAAAGCAAGTGGTTAACACAGCATAAGCATTTCAGGAAGCATTGATTACTATTTTTCACAAAACTGGCATGATAAAACTGATCGAACCACCGATATCAATGTTGCGACAACGTTACTTACACTCGGGTTTCTCGTGAAACAATCGAGCGCATGTGGACTTTTAGGAGGAACAGTGCTCTAGATATTGTAGAGACTGCCGACAAAACGAGCGTGTGATTTAACGCAGTTTTGAGTTTTTATACTTCTCTTTTCTTTGTAGTTCGCCAGTAGCCACTTATGATCTAGCGCAACTCAAAGCACTGCTTGAGTGAGAATTAGGAGGATCCGTGCAAATTCTGATTGTACATGTGTGCGTGCTTTTTTGTTTTTTGTAGGGAGCGTGGTTGGCAGGTTCTTCAAGTGAATGTCTCAACGGAATTTCGGCGTGCCTGTACAATCCCTCGTGCACCATGGCGTGTAGCAGGTGCGCATACGCTACTAAAGCCTCAGAAATGCTAATATAAATGCGCTAAAAACGAGTGTTTACACGCTGTCGCAGGCTAAGGAGCGCGTGCTCCCAGTGCAGACGCTCCCGAGCTCTTTAGTACCATGCGACTACAGCGCCGCCGCTACTGTCACCCGCCGGAGAATCAGCTGAGATACGGCTCGGCCGCCTCGTTCATTCCACTGGCCCCTTCTAGTACACTGTACCGTTAGTAAGTTTGTGCAATTTTGCTAGAGTGTACTAGAACTTTTGAGTTGCGCGACCGAAACGCTTTCCTCTTGCTTTCTCCATCCCCAACTGGTGGCGAAAGTAGCGGCGGCGCTGCCATCGCCCAATCTACCACAGAAAACTAGGTGTTCTGTGGTTTACTCGGCTGGCTCGGCGGCATGGCCGGCATCTCGGTTTTAGTCGCGAAATGACGAAGTAGTGTCTAAACGATTGTTACGCGCCAGGTTGCACAACTGGATATCCGCGTGTGCAACAAAGTCGGAAGTATCACTTTTTAAGGCCCCGAAAGACGAAGAACGACGACTTCTTTGGGAGCGGAACCTCCATCGGCTTGACAAGCAGCTTGACGCCGATTGTGCTGTGTGCGAGTTACTTTTCAAACCGCATTTCATTGTCAGAGACTACGTACATGTTATCAATGGTGTTCAAGTCCGAATTCCTAGGGGAGCGCCGACACTCGCCCCTGATGCAGTCCCGACGATCTTGCCCAACCTGCCTGCATATTTGACGCTCAAAACTCCGGCTCCGCGGACCCAAACAAAGCGGCGTCATCAGTGTGTGCCGGCTGAGAATGACAACAGAAAACAGCGACGCATTAGCACTCCTGTATAGCTTTTCGTGGATACCAACGGTGCAACTTCTGCAGATGGCGACGAAGCTGACGAGGCAAGCTCAAGTCCCTCGTCTGACGCGGTTGTCACTCTCGGTGACCTTCGTGGTCTTGTCCTACCATCAAAGTCATGGGCGCTGCACGAGTTTCCTGGATTTGCTGGCGTGTCGTACGTAGCGTGCTCACTGAATCCTAGCACTCGTGAATTTTGCATTCAATGAGCCGTATACTTCACCTGTGCAGACAATGGAATCGTGCAATGTGAAGCGTTCGTGCAAGAGAAACTAATCAGCAAGTCCAGTTTAGTAACTGTTCGAGAAGCCTCAGATGCTCTGCAGCTTGTTGCAAGCGTCCCACTCTGTTGTAGAGCAGCAGAAACTTCATTTTTGCCACCGTCGGACCTTACCCACGGTCTACACGCGCAAATGAAGTCAAGATGAAAAATCTTCTACAGTGTCAAAAGCGCACAGAAGCACCTAAAATTGAGTAGGCTATAAATTGCTACAGTGGCGTAAAAAGGATGTCATTTTTCGTGCATATTTTCTTACACTCTTAATTTTTTGACGGTACACCAAGAAGAAAAACAATTTTTCCTAGAAGAGGCTTTTAAGCGAGAGAACGTGCAAATAATGACGCGAAATCTCAAAATAAATCTTTGATCTTGAATCTTTTTGTATTAAACCTGTGATGGTAAATTTAGCAGCATTAGGTACCTCGGTGCATACTTCATCGATCTAAGCCAATTCGTTGTTGCACTTCAGTGTCCCTTCAAACGATCTTTCGACCATAACATCTTTTTTTTAAAATGCATTTTGGAAAGACAACCTTAACACTGTCATTCTGTTTGCATTGCTTTATGTTATCTTTTGTATCCTGGCTTTATATATTACGTTTTTTACAATTTACCTAATTGCAAATGTATTGTTTCATAAATATGTAAACCTTGCATTTTTATGTTATCAATTATAATTAACATTAGTTACGACTCTGCTTTGCAGTGTTGCGTTTTTTAAACTATCAAAATCTTCCACTACTATGTTTCACCTAAGACATTCTTTTGCAGTATTACGTATTTGCATTTCTGTGGGTCCTACAACAATGAATCTGTTCCCATATTTTAAAACCAAAGGGATGTTTGGAAAAACTCTGCTGTTCTCCAAATATTATCAATAAAGCCTACTTTTTTGTCGTGTGTGCACGCAGCCACAAGCAATAAGCCTTTTATTTGAATCCAGCTTTGGTGTTTTACGTGGAATGGACCAAGAGTTCTTCGTTTTGTGTGCAGCATATTCCTTTTTTTTTTGGGGGGGGGGGGCGCTTCCGGTGTGTACTGGCCAGCTGGTTTCCCGTCTAAAATGTGTACACTTTAAAAATTAAAAAAAAAAAACGCGCTCGTTATATTGTACAATGTGCTATGCTGCTTCGGGCTGCAGTGCGGGCCTCAGTAACTTCGATAACAATAATGTCAAATAACCTTTATTTGCGCGAAAAAGGGGAGGTATGTGAATAAGAAAAAAAAGAGGGAGATCATCTTCACACTAGGCGCGACAGAGAGGTACCAACACGTACGCGGAACGCCTGCCAGCCATCCGCCCGGGAAGATTGGTCGACGCCAGCGCCACCGCATCATTCCACGCCGAAACGGCCGCTCTTGGCAGCTGCTCGCGCCACTCAAAAGCTTCTAGTACACTCTAATTTTGCCGTCACCCCCGGAAAACTTTTCAGGCCTGCGCGTCACGTGACGTCGACGACGTCACATCGCGCCGGCCGCCCTTCGCTGGGTGGCCGCGCCAGCCGCGAGCGCCCTTCACGCCTACTGACTCAGGCGAGGTTCCTTGACACCATGTCCGCACGATTTATCAAGGTATCGATTGACTGTATGGTTTAACGCGCCGACGCAACGCAGGCGATGAAGCGCGCCGTAGGGGAGGGCTCAGGATTAAGTTTGACTACCTGGGAATCTTTAGTGTGTGCCGAAATCTCGTACACACGGGCGTTTTTGCTTTTCGCCTCCATCAGAAATGCGGCCGCCGCAGCCGGGTATCGAAACCGCGCCCTAGTGCTCAGCAGCGCAACGCCTTAGCCACTGAGCCACCGCGGCGGGGGAAACTTATCAAGGTATCAAGAAATAATGAATATCGTGAATGGAATAATGCATATTTATTTATCACAGCCAGGGGCCGTCTATACAAATATCACAGTGCGCATTGTTCTCGGTCCAGGCAGACGACAGGCAACACAAGATGTTGCCCTTAATGCTGAAAGTATGCCAAAAGTACAAAACACAATATCTTGCCACATAAAACTCAGAAAACAAAACAGATTGTAACAGCAAAAACATCCCCGAGCTTTGGAACAGAAAAAGCACACTTTCATTTAAATTGTAGGTTAGAGGAAAACATACCATTCGTTTATCATTGTAGCAGTAGCAACACAAGGTATCAGGTTCAAACACTTGCCAAAAAATACAATACATAACACTGGTGACTAAAAAATTGTGGTCCACAGCATGATAAATGACAGAAAGAAAAGTAATTGTACTGCCACAGGTAGGTGCATGTCCTAGGGAAAAAAATCAAACAAAAATCTAAGAAAAAACAAATCACAGTGCACAACATGTCTGTACACAGAGTGCACAAGGAAAGCGTACACAGCTCAGGTACCAAAACGGACTGTACAACTGCTACAGTAGGCACCGAGGCAGTTCGAGTTAAAAAAATAAATAAAAAAGAGTACAGCACTTTTAAAAGCTAACAACTTGTAAAGAGATACAAAACTGGAAACAAGGCTCATTTTACATAAGGCAGAAGTATACCAAGGAAATCAAGTCATGACTATGCAATCAAATACACGCAGTGCAGTTTCACAAGAATAAATGTGAAGAGAAAGACGCGACGCTTGGAAAATTACTTTCCAAGAAAAATTCAGGCCTTTCTATTTTTCGCCTTCTGATCTTTTTCAATGCGTAAAAGATCGTTCCTTTGCTTGCACAAGTTGTTGAGCATTATATTTGCTGCACAGTTTGCAACCAATGTGATGAGGAGCTCCTAGGTGTGCCCGTTTTCACACGTATCTATGTCCTCAAGCCTTGGCAGAGAGTCCAGTGTAAGTTGCCGAACGACATTCTTTTGGTTTGGCCCATGGAGAAACTGGGTAGAGGTACTTTCCGTCATGAGCTTTCTAACTACAACCTCCGTGTACATAACTACTGCGATTACAAGAGCAGAAGGAAATTTGAGGCCACCCCGATCCAGCTGTGCGATTAAAGAATGGGTGTCCTCTCCTGTTTCGGCCGTATTTCCGGTAACGACCAACTGCCTCTGGCAGCTTTCACACTTGAGAACTTTCATTGCAGCGTGTGCACAATACCCACCAACATAACCAATCACCGCCATTTGTGCTCTGAGCTCATCAAGGTCAGCATCGCTAACATGAACACTAAAAGAAGTGCCCGCATCCCTGACACTGTCCGTCTCTTCGATGCCTCTGAGATCATCGTTGCTCATCCTTGGAAGGGCATTTTGAAGGCGAATCCTTCCCTCGGTTTCGCAAAGCTGGCGAACAGATATGTGATACTGCCCACCAGCCATCTGCCTGTACTGTCCAAAGAGACTCTCGAGGGGATCCGTCTGGACTTTCCCTAGCAGAATGTACTTAAAGTGAAGCTCACTAACGCAGTACTTCACCAATGCCAAAAGGGATTGAGCAGAGAGCCTCAAGGCACTCAATGTCTCCTGGGTAAGTACTCCAGTGTCGTGCCTATAAAATTCCCACACATCGAGCCATGTGATAAAAGCGCTTAGAAAGCTTGCCTTTGGGTCATCTGTGTGGTTTGACATGGGCTCTTCGTAAACATTACGGTGATGGAAGCCCTTACTAGGTGTCTTTACATTGACAATGCTCCACCAACGAAGAATTATTTTGATAACCGCCGGTTCTGGCAGAAACATCTTCATTGCCTTCCTGTTCAGCGAGTTATTGTCACAGACAACGGCTATGACCCTGTATCCAATTTTTTCTAAGCCCAAGATCACCTTCTCCAGCATGCAATGAAGATCTTCACCCTGTAAGGTTTTTACCGGAAGAATGTGCGCCACCTCCTTGAATGCGCTCAGCAAACTTTGTATCATAAACACGTGCACCGATGTGGCCGCTTCGTTGGAGTTAACTGCTGCACCACATATGTTCCCACCTTTGTAATCTAAACAAGGTTTGATATGAATCTCGTCAAGCATCAGCGTCACAGTGTGTTCATGTGCCTGCAGATGTTTTAATCTCTGAGACACATACTGAAGGAAAGTGTCGTCAGAAGAATCAACTTGTGGGCACATTTGAATAGACTAGCACACATTTCTAATAGTGCTTGGGTGGGGCAAAGTTAGTGTAGCTGTGCTTCTCAGGAACTTGTAGGCATGTGGTGACATTGTACACAAGATGCATGCAAAGACCATCACCTGTGCGCTATACTGAATGAGCTCTGCAGAAAGGAGTAGTAGCTGCTCCTTCATAAAATTCACCGTCTCTTTCTTGCCTTCATCAATGCTGGCTTCCAATTTGTCCAGAAGGGAATGTATTGCTTGAGCCAGGTGGCGATAAGTGCAGCGCTCCTCAGACAGCATCGACAGGTTGTTCAAAATTTCCAACAAGGAACTTACTTTTTGAACTGAGTCTGGTACAACAGCGCTACCAAGGTTCTTGATTGGTGAACCTTGATAGCAGGCAAAGACTTTAAGGTTTGCAAACACGGTCAATGACGCATTCAAACAAGGCTCACGATAGTCGATAATGTTCAAAAACATGGAGCACTCTTCTTTATGAATCACAGTCCACTTCGGAGACACTGACACCCCTTGCAGGCGAGCCCTTAGTTCTTCGAGGGACGAAAACCGGTCTCGTTCTTGCTCCGCTTCATATGACGCCAGCGACTCTTCTACAGCACGGGCGAGTTGGGAGGCTTCTTGTCGGTTCCTCTTGGCGTCAGGGGTTTCTCTCGTGCTCTGGTCTCGTACTGATAGGTAGGACGGACAGCCGGGAAATACCGTTGGGACAGATCCACCGTGGTACTGGGAGTGCAACTTCAATAACTCTCCTTGTCCTTGGATCCGTGTACGATGTCACCTTCTCGATGCATGAAGCGTCGAAATGATCCGCGCACACCTGCACAAACGT